CCTTCTGTTTCAGCGACATCCATGAAATTGGAGCCGACCCGAGGAAGACGAGCATGCCAGAGGTGCTCCGTCTCCGTTGATGTCCCCCACCATGTCTGTATCGCTGAACATAGTGAGCTGCAGCCTACTCCCACTGGTCTTAGGAAATATAATCCCTTGATCTACCATCCCCTTGACGTAGCGCAGTAGCTATTTTACTGCAGCCCAGTGATACTCTCTAGGATCCACCATGAAGCGACTGACGTAGCCCACGGCGAACGCAATGTCCGGCCTTGTGTGGACTAGGTAGCGCAAACCGCCGATGATGCTCCGGTAAAGTGTTGCATCCACCTTCGCCGCGGTGCTAGTCTTCATCAGCTTCAGCCGCTCCTTCATCGGAGTCATGCATGGCTTGCACTCAGCCATGCCGCTCCGCTCCAATAGCTTGGAGGCATACGTGCTCTGACCGAGCGTGAGTTCCTTCTTCCCCTGTCTCACCTCGATGCCAAGGTAGTAGGAGAGTGCGCCGAGATCGCTCATTCGAAAATGAGCCATCATCTCGCGCTTGAAGCTGTTGATGTCCTCCGTGCGCGCGCCGGTGACGATCAAGTCGTCCACATACACGCCAACGACGAGCTCCTCCTTCCCCGTCGCCGCGTGTAGAGTGCGTGCTCGGTTGCGCACCGCTGAAACCCAAGCTCGCCCAGCGTGGCGTCAAGCTTGGCGTTCCATACTCGTGGGGCCTGCTGCAGCCTGTAGAGCGCCTTTCGTAGTCAGGAGCACCCTGTGCTCCTCTCCCTTGACGGCGAAACCTGGAGGTTGCCTGACAAAGACCGTCTCCGCCAGTTCACCGTTGAGGAAGGACGATTTAACGTCCAAGTGATGGACGCGCTAGTCCTTTGCTGCTGCCAAGGCTAGTAGCAAACGGATCGACTCCATGCACGCTACTAACGTAAAGACCTCCTCGAAGTCTATGCCCTCGCGCTGAATAAAGCCTCGGGCGACGAGGCGCGCCTTGTGCTTGACAGTGGCACCGAGCTTGTCCCGCTTGACCTTGTACACCCACTCTAGACTGATCAGACGACATCCTGGAGGTGGATCGATGAGCTGCCAAGTCTCGTTTTCCTTGATTGCCTTCATCTCCTCCAGCATCGCCCGTCGCTAGTTTCCATCGCGCTCAGCCAGCGTGAACGTCGGTGGTTCCTCTGCACTGACGAGCAGCAACTCTACGTCATTGAGCAGCCGACCAGCTAGTCCTGAGGGCCCTGTGCCACCGACGATGTCATCCAGCCTGCGGAACCGTACCTCCTCACCTTCGTGGAAGGCATCCATGAACTCAGTGATGTCACCTGGAGGTGAGGCGAACTCGATCAGTATTGATGGAGTTCCCTATTCTGCCGGAGTGCTCGGCACAGCACCTTGAGTGCTCGGCATTACTTCTGGACAGCTCGTTACTACTCCTATAGTGCTCGGCACCACTGTAGGAGTGCCCAGCCTCAGTCCTGGAGTGGTTGGCACCACTGCAACACCTCTTGGCTCCGCTACGGGAGTGCTCGGCACCCGTCCTGGAGTGGTCGCCACCACTACAGAACCTCCCAGCACCACTCCTAGCCTACTCGGCATCCCTCTAGGAGTGCTCGGCACTCCTCCCGGAGTGCTCGTCATCTCTCCCGAAGTGCTCGGCACTACCCTAGGAGTGCTCGACTCTACAGCTAGAGTGCTCGGCACTCCTCTCGGAGTCCTCGGCACCTCTTCCCTAGCGTCTCCACCACCGTGGATGACCAAGTGGTCGACGATGAAGGTGCTGGTGAAGCCACCAGCTTCCCCCGTGCTCAGACTGTTCCAGTCCTAAACTGCCTTCTCGTCAAACACGACGTCGCACAAGACAAGCACCTTGTCTCTGCGTGGGTCGTAGAGCTGGTATTCCTTGGTACCCTCCGCGTAGCCCAGTAACACCATCGGTGTGCTCCTGTCCTCTAGCTTGGTGAGGTTCGGCTTTGTCTTCCTGATGTGGCCGATGCAGCCGAATGTCCGGAGGAAGGACACGCTCGGCTTGCGCCCATACCAAGCTTTGAACGACGTCTTGCAAGTCAGGACTTCGGTCGGAGCGTGGTTGAGGATGAACACCGCCGTGGTCACCGCCTCCCCCCAGAACCTTGCCGGCATGCCTTTGGCCTTCATCATGGATCGGGCCATGCCGACCACCGTCTGGTTCTGTCGCTCCACCACGCCATTCTGTTGTGGCGAGTATGGCATGGTGTGGTGTCACACCACACCCTGATCCGCGCAGTACGTAGTGAACTCCACCGAAGTGAATTCGCCGCCACGATCAGTCCTCAGCATGCAGAGCTTCTTGCTGTTCTCAGCCTCCGCGCGCATCTTGAACTTCTTGATCGCCGCTGCCGCTTTGTTCTTGCTCATCAGGAGTTGCAGCCACATGTAGCGTCTGCAATCATCCACGAGCAAGAGGAAGTACCTCTGACTACCGTTTGTAGCAAGCGTGATCGGCCCGTAGAGGTCGCTATGGACGAGCTCAAGAGCATCCTTCGCGCGATACTTGGCCGCCTTTGGGAATGGTAGCCTCCTCTGCCTCCCTGCCAGGCAGCTGTCACACAACTCGCCTCCGTGCTTGATGTGGGGTAGTCCTCGGACCATCTTCCCTAGCCGATCAAGCGAGTCGAAGCTGAGATGTCTGAGCCGGGCATGCCACATCCACGGTTCCTCGGTGTGCCTTGCCGCCAGGCACACCGGCTGCTCTAACTTCAGGTCGAGCAGGTACAATCGGTTCAGGGACCTCTTCACCTTGGCAAGAAGTTGCTGCTCTCGGTCCCTGATCCTAAGGACTCCGTCCTTGATCAGTACCTCGCTACCATGCTCATCCAGCTGACCAATGCTGATGATGCCGGAACGCAGCTGCGGGATGTAATATACATCCGTTAGCGCGCTATGCTCCCCGTTCTGGCACCTGAAGATGATGGTGCCGCGCCCTTAGATAGCCACCCTGGAGCCGTCACCAAACTTCATCGTATCTGTAACATCGTCGTTGAGCTCAGAGAAGAATGCCTTGGAGCCCGTCATGTGGTTGCTGGCACCAGAGTCCAGATACCACCGCTGCTCCTGGTCAGCGCCCACACGTCCGAGGTGGACTTGGGCGCGTGGTTCATCGAGGTTGACAGTCTTCAGGGCCTTCCTAGGTCCTTCCACCATCGTCGCCTCTTCCTTCTCCTCGCTCTCGACGTCGTGCAGTGCATAGAACGTCGCCATCAGGATAGTGGCCTCATCATCATCATCATCAACTTGCGCCAGATGAGCCTCAACCTTCTTATCCTGCTTGCGATTTGGCCACTCTAGTGCCCAATGGCCCATCTTCCCACAACGTCGACAGGCGTTGGGGTCGACCTGCTTCTTCTTCTTCGAAGAAGCCTTGCCGCGGTGCTTGCCATCGCCACCACGGCTGGAGGAGGCTGCCTTCCTGGAGTTCCTCCGAGCAGCCCACTCCTCTTCTGTCAGCAACAGTTTGCCGCTGTCCTTCGTTGCAGTCACCTGCTCCAGGCGCTCGTCCACCGCCCACAGACAGCCTGTCACATCCTCAATGGTGAGGGTGGATAAGTCTAGCATCGTTTCTATAGAGATAACGATCTGGATGTACTTTGTCGGCACGGAGTGGAGGTACTTGGAGACCGCCTCCTCTTCGTCGATGGTGACGCCGTGGCTTTTCAGCTTGCTGATGAGCGTCTGCAGGTGGAGGGAGACGTCCTCCACCGTTTTACCATCCTTGAACTTGAGGTTGACGTACTCCTGTTTTAGAAGCTGGGCAGTCACCTTCTTTGCATGGTCGGAACCGACGCGCATCGCCGCAATAGCCTTGCACGTCTCTTTGCAGAGCTCTTCATCTCCAACGGCTCTCTGTACTCCGTCGGTATAGGAGCGAGGATAGCCTCCAATGCTGACATGTCATCTTCATTTTCGGTGTCCTTGTCAACAGCATTCCAGAGCTGTCGGGCTCTGAGCTTGACTTTCATGGTCACCGACCACTCTCCATAGTTGGTGCGAGTCAGCGTCGGCCAACTGGTGCCGCTGATCTCCCGCATCGTGCGAACAATGATCTCCGGTCGTGGCTGGGCAGCCACAGTAGTGCCACTGCTGTCGCCCATTTTCGAACCGTCCGTCATCGCTAGCGGTTAGTCTGGTGACGGCGCTTGTACAGCTCTAACACCACTTGTTAGTCCACAGGATCACCGGCTCAGGTGAGTGAACCACTCACCAGTCTTGCCGAGCATCCGCTAGTGTTACCGAGTACCCACTAGCTAAGCCGACCACAAACAAGCGTTGTCCGTCCCCACACGCTATGGCTAGAGGTTGGAGAAGAGGGAGAACAGAGCATACACACACAGTACAAGACACTAGCGTTGGCCGAAGCCCTATATGAGAGATGACAATTCTGAATTCTATTTACTGAGTAGACGTGGTAGTCTATTTATACAACTCTATCATCTAGTCTAGTATAGCGCACATGCTGCAACAGTAACTAGATAACACTGCAGGGCTAACTCTGCGCTGGCCTCTGTATGTGGCTACAGTGCTGCAGGTGAGTAGTTTGGCGTCTACACCTGCAGCGCTACAGTATCACAGCAGAAAGCCTTTTCGGAGTCGTCTTTTCCTTGCTGTGTATTCACACATAGCAGTAGTAGCTTATTCTAACTTACTCGAGCGAGAAAAGCTGGGAAAAAGGCAGGCGCACGGCATCAAAATAGCTCTCTCCTCTCTTGCCAAGCAAACCACACGTACACCATCGATATTCGTTTCCTCTGGGGGCTGCTATAATGCCTATAAGAACTGTATAAATTCCACCTCCACACCACACAGAGTTATAATGTGTGTGTCATGCGCTTTTACTGAAACTTGCCAGTTGCCACTCCAAGACTTCCGATCTGTACTTGTACCGTAGTGCAAGCTCGTGAAGATTGAAGAGGAAGTTAAGAGGCTAGCTAGAGTAGAGACTGATCGAAAGAAGCCAAGCCATGGAGTCTTCTTCTGCTGACCACGGCCAGCCGAAGAAGGAGACCACCGGCGCGAGCCACGACAGCAACAACAAATCTGCAGGCAAATCAAGGGCCGATCTCTACGCGGGCGCCGTGGCGCAGCGGGTCCTGTATGGACCGAGCCGGTGCCGTGGCGGCAGCCCGAGAAAGCCGGCTGCTGCCAGTGTCACTGGCAGCGGCAAGCCGCCGAGCAGGCTCAGCAAGATGTCCGGTTCCGCGGAGGCCACACGAGGTAGGAACTAGCTATAGCACTACTAGTAGACTCTGACTGATGGGAGGCTAGCTGGGAGTTCCGGAGTGCAGGAACCTGTGTGTATTGATGTGTGCGCACCGGGCGTGCTGTTTGTGAGGTTGAATCGTTGCACTGTTGTGTTATACCGTATATTACTCCAATATATGTACGTATACTGTATATATGTACGTGGTTGGAACAAATAAATAACAGATCCGAGCTAGTTCAAGTAGCACTGCACAATGTAGACTGGATTTCATGGTACTAGCACTTTCCAAATTTTTTTCGGATTTGCTGGCGCTCAAATGTCTGGTGCCCATACAGGGAGTGAGGCTCGCTCGCGAGCGCACCAGCAGTGGCCCCGCGCCGCCTCGGACGTCGCTCACACCGCCCCGAATGTCGCCCACGCCACCAGCGCGCCGCTTCCCACGCGCATCCCATGTGCAACATCCGATCTACTTTTGAAACATCCGGATGCAACAGTTGCAACATACAAAAGAAGAAAGATGAAACACTTGAAACAAGCGTTTGAAACACTTGTGAAAACGTATGAAAAAACATTTGAAAACCATTACAAACATATGTAACATTAAGATGAAATACTTACAAACATACATATGAAAAACCTGAAAACACTTGAAACAAATGTTTGCAACATGCATGAATATGCAACATCCATATCTACTTTTACAACATCCAAATAAAACACTTGCAATATACGTCTGGAACAGATGAAACATTTGGAACATACACTTGAAACATATTTGTATAACCCTTACAACATTTGCAACATCCTGATATACTTTTGCAAAATCGATATACAACACTTGCAACGTACCTCTAAAATATCTGAAATACTTAAAACATACGCTTGCAACATGCGGTTTTCACCCTTCTTCCGTGTGACGCAACACAGAACGAGGGAACGGCCGATTCCAGCAAGCCAGTGGCCGAGGATGGTGGCGTGGCCTGGCAGCGTCCAGCTGCGCCTGTGCCTAGCCTAGGCCCGGCAAGCGACGACCACCTTTCCTGGCCGCCTGGCCACACGCGGCGGCCGGCGCCTGCGCGCCTGCGTGGCTGCTGCTGGTGGGCACGGGCAGGTAGGGCCACTAGGGAGGAAGAAGACAAGAGGTAGTGATGGAAGGCGGTCAGTGGTGAAAGAGAAAGGCAAGCATGGCGCCGCCAGCCACAAACGCCCCACCCCAGTGCCGCGTCGGGAAAACGAGCAGCGGTATGGGTGAGAAATATGTCAGGTAGAGACCGTTGGACCGTCTGTATCGGCTGGATCTAATTAAAATAGTGTCTAATAGGAAAAACCGTCCGGACGCCCGTGTAGGAGCATTTTTTATTTTTTTTAACAAAAACAGAGCTTCACAACTTGTTCATTCTGGGCCTAGAGGCTTTGGCGAAGCCCTAAATTTGCAACGCGGTCTTGGATGGGATAAAATAAGCTTGTCTATATAATTGTAGGATACTCAAATTTATTTTAGTCACATAATGTGAAATGATTTTGGCTTTTGAGATACTAAGCACAGGTAAAGCACAAGTGACGGCTTGACGATCGAGAGGCCAAGTCTAAGATGAACGAAGAAGCAAGTATTTATGCTAGACACCAAGGGCTAATCAAGTCATGATGAGTCATGCAATGCCAAGTATCAAATACTTGTTGGATCAAAAATTGAAGTGACTTCTGTGAATTAATAAACTATTGTGTCCAAATAATCCAAGTGGCATACTTGAGGAGAATATGTTTAAGCTATAATGTAAAAAAATCCCTCAAGGTTGATCTAGATTACAATCACAGGATGAGGTATGGTTTATAAAATATGCAATGCAACAAGATCTATATGTACACGGTGATGTGAATTAATTAACAATTAACGTGATATGCTTGTTTGTCTTCTATATATAGATAACTTCTCGATTACGCCAACCAACTATCGTAGAACTACCATACATAGTAGGCTCCTCCAAGGATACAAGGAAACAAAAACAAGGGCAACGAGGAAGACACTAGTGGCCAAGGTCATGGGCTATAACACAATTAATTAAGTTATAAAGGGGGACCTAAACAACCTCTAAAGTGTCACCTAAGTTTTGCAACGCCATTGGTCTCGAAGTTTTATACCACCGACAGGTAAATTTATAGTTGTGCGTATAGCATGGTTGGCTTGACACTTGAGGACCTAGGAATTATACTAGTTCAGACAATGTGCCTTATGTAAGTGAGGTGTGTTCATTCATGTTCTTAGGCTCGAGGGCCCGAGGTTTGTAGCAGGGTTACAAATGAGAAGTCTAGGTGTTGAGAATTATGAAAGAGGGGTGTTTAGAGAGCCTAGAATTGTCAGAATGGGTCTAGGTTTTCCATTGAGAAAAGAAGCCCCTGCCTCCCCATGTACCTTGGTAAGGGGGGGGTTTACAAAAATATAGTGGGGGTACTTCCACGGGTGTGTCCCGCATGAGTCTTTTGATCGTCCTTATCTGCTTCAGCGGTGTCATATCCATTGTATGTGTACTTGAGGCGAAAGATCGGGGTGGCAGTGCCCCCATATCAGGCATCAATCATCTAGTCAAGGCAGCCCTGTCGTAGTGGTAAGTAAGGCTTGTCCCTATCTCCTATTTCATACAGGGATGGCAATGTTTGGGACATGAATCCTTCTGTAGTGTGCATGGGTAGTGCTCGTCATGTCATGGAATTGTGTGGTACGATGGGCCTTTGACCCTTCTGGCAGATGGAAAAACAGGCTTGGGCATCTCTCCTTAGGCGAGTTCTGAATTTCATGGGGTCCTGTTCCATGAATAGGAACTCCCCGAGCAATGGTGCTCCTAGATGTTCGGCATCAGAGCCCCTTGCAGGTGATTGGGCCTCACAGACCGAGTTGCTCTGTCCGAGTAGGGCTTGGAGAACTCAGTGGGGCATGAACTTGGTGGTGTATGAAGCTGTAATACTGAGAGGGTTAGGGTACCCCTAGTCTAGGTATTCGTCAATTAGGTTCCTAGTTAGGGTCATGCTAGACATCACGATCGCTAATTGAAAACAAGTGTCATATGGGGAAAACTTTCTTATTATGGAGTCAATTGAGGTGAACATTTGTATTCCCCCAAGGTCTAGATGAACTCATAAAGGCATTTTCAATGAGACAGTTGGCAATCAACTTTGGTAATTGGAGGTTGAAACTAAATACCAAGTTTGTGAAGAAAGGACTCGACCCCATGACGAAATACAACAATATTATAGAAGCTTATTGGAAGGTCTTTGTTGAATAGAAGACCTCAGAGGAGTTCTTAGATCTAAGTGAAGTCAATTCCTAGCCCATGAAGAAGAACAAATGCCCCAGCACCTGCTTGCACGGGTGGTTACAAGCTCCAAATCCAAAACTAGAGGACCCAACAAGAGACAAGGAAGATGACCAAGTTATTGATCCCATTTAATGGTCTGGACAAATGGAGCTCCAATTGGCTAATGCTAGAAACCACGGGGCTCAATGATCTAGAGCACCCTAGTTGCATTCAAAGCATCTTCGCGAGGTTGGGTTGGAAAGAAGCATTCCCTAGTCGGCTAACATGTAGAAGAAATGCGTCTGTTACAAGCAAGTTACCTGAGAACATGCTATGAATTTTTCAAGGAGGAGGCAAAGCAAGAAATGAAAACATTTGATTTGAGAATTCTTGGCTAATCCAGATCCCAACTTGATTCAAAAGTTAACTAGCGTACTGCCTCACCAATAGAGCACACAGTAGTAGCAACTGCAACATGAGCCTCCACCTTTAGGGGACTTTAGGTCCAAGCACCATTGGCTCTACAATGGTCATGAACGTGTCCAGTTGATGATATCATTGGACCATCAACTTTCTCACTACTGAAAGCTCTAGTTTAGTTTTGGTGAATTGATGAAACCTTAAGGGCTAACCTAGTTTATCAAAGTGATCATGAGATAGGTAGCACATTCCAAGTAATGGAGCAAGTGGTGAAGATCATGATGATGGTGTGACCATGGTGATGATCAAGTGCTCGGCTTGAAAAAGAAGAAAGAGAAAAACAAAAAGCTCAAGGCAAAGATGAAACTTGATAGGAGCTTTTTTGGTTTAGTGCTCGAGACACTTAGTGAGTGTGATCATATTTTGGATCGATAGCCATACTATTAAGAGGGGTGAAACTCGTATCGAAATACGGTTATCAAAGTGCCACTAGATGCTCTAACTCATTGCATATGCAGTTAGATTCTAGTGAGTGCTAACATCCTTGAAAATATTTGTGAAAATATGCTAACACATGCTCACAAGGTGATATACTTGGTGGTTGGCATATTTGAGCAAGGGTGGTGAAGTTTGGGAAGTCGAGGAGGTCACTGTGCTGACCGAACGCAGGACCGGAAGCTGGACCTGCGCGTCCGGTCAGTAGTGGAGTAGTGGCGCGGTCTCGGTCTAGTTGACCGGACGCTGGCGCGAGAAGTGATCGGGACGCGTAGCCTCTTGGTCCGATCAACGCGAGATGTATGGTAATGTGGCGGCGAAACTGTTGGCGCGCAGCGGCAGTGAGGACCGGACTTGGCCCTGAGTCCGGTCATGCTCCCTCGGACACATCCGATCGAGAAAGTGCGGCTCTGGATGCTCTCTGGAAGTGATCGGACTCCGCGTTGATAGAGTGCCGGTCATTCCATCGGCGCGTCAGGTCGCTGGGTTGGTGCCTCGGGCGAGGGCGTGAGCAGACGCTGGGTGGCTATGTTCGATCGTTCATTAATTTGAGCACATGATCGAGTTGACCGTTGGGATCAGATGGCACACGTTTGAAGCTGTGACACGTGGCAGCGATCCCACGATCGGACGCAGGGGGTGGAGCGTCCAGTCGATCTGACCTGCGCATTCGGCCACCACTCAGTGAGCTGCCCATGGTGCACAATGGCTCTATTTTGAGGGGACACCTATATAAGGCGTTTGGCCAGCTCTAGCTCATACCTTTGGCCATTTGCATTGATATAGCAACCTTGTGTGCTTAGCCAAAGCCCTCCCA